CTTTCAGACTCCCTGCGGCCCGGCAGGCCTGGTTAATAGGGCTGCGGGTGCAGAACCACCTGCTTTACCTTCAGCCACTCCTGGAGCTGGTGGAGAAGACATTTCTTTGTCCATGTCGTCACCCTTTCTCCTGTCTTCTTTTGTGTGGGCTGCCGTAATGGAACATCATCGACTGCGGGGCTTGTCAGCCACGGAAACCGACTTCTCCCAATTCCAGGGGCTGGAGGTGTCCGGCAGGGCCTGCTTTCTGGTGCATTCATACTTAGGTCTTGCCCTAGTGGGCGTGGTGAGGGAGGGTCCGGGGCTCCCTGTGTAATGGCACTGATCCCATTCAGGAGGACTCACTGTCATAACCTTGCCGCCTCCCTAAGTCCCCACCTTCAAATGCCATCACCTTGTGGGTTAGGAGTTCAACATATGGACTTTAGGGGGGGGCACAAACATTCAGATCATAGGAGCACCCTCCCCTGTCCCCATATCACTGGACTGAATTCACCTTCCTGAGAGCCACAACCTTTGTGTCACTCTAAAAAATGAAACTTTATGTTTCTCAGGGTGAAATATTCAGCTTCTTATAACTGGTGATATTCTTTGGGAATTCTCATTGATGGTGACCATTATGATGATCCCCTGTATACAGAACTGGTCTTTTTACTTGTTATGATTCTCTTATGTGGCTTTACACCTTACTCTTTCTTATCCAGGGGGTGTGAGTATTTATTGGGGGTTAGTATTAGTCTCCTGTGGCTGCTGTAACAAGCAGTACATGTCAGTTTGCTCAGAACCACAGAGGAGGAGTATTCTCCCATGGCCATGTGGGCTGGAGGTCTGGGTGAAGGTGGCAGCAGGACTGCATTCCTGCAGGAGCCATGGGCCTTCCCTTATCCACTGTCACCTCATCTTACTTTGTTTCAAATAGGGTCACAATTACAGGTACTGGGAGACATGGTTAGCCCATAATAGGGCCTGAGAAGAAACTGTTGTAACTTCCATGTTTCTTTTTTAAAACAAGTCTTTGTTTCCTATGTCTTTTTAATAATACAGGTGTTTGAGTGTATACATTTTAAGTAAATAATTATAGTGATTTTGGAGGCTCTGAGCTATGAGAACCCACTCAGAAGGAAACACTTGGGCCTCTGGTCTGGCTCCTTGCTCCAGCCCAAAGGCATCTGGTGTGGGTTGTGCTGAGTGTGGGTGGGGGAAGTGGTACTTCCGTGCCCTGCTGGCTGCAGAGAAGAGTGTGTGTGTGTGTGTGTGTGTGTGTGTGTGTGCATGTGTGTGTGTATGTGTGCGTGCGTGCTGTGTTGGACCACCTCTTTGGCGAGACCTCTCCAAGGTTAGGATGTGTGCACCCTTTGGTCCCGGAGTCCCAAGAATGAGTCTGTCCACTAGGAATTGTGAGGGACCTTTCCATGGATACTCGTTCCACACCATGGTCCAGTAGCAGGACAGCCTGATCCGTACAGCATCCCGCTCAACAGTCACCAAAGTGCCAGTGACGCTGCATCCCCCTGGCTGCCCTGATCAGCAGGTGCAGAGCGGGTCTGTGCCATCTCTAGGGATGTCCACTCTCTCCACTTGGTGACGGTGTGCCCTGAGCGGTTGCTCCTGTCTCTGTCGGTGCCTGTTGGGAGACACCTTAGAACTGTATAAATATCTCTGTGTGTTATTCCTTGACTGAGCTCCTTTTCATCCCCATTGAGAATCCATGATGGAAGCGCTGGTCACCCTGGTGTTTGCTGAACAGTGAGTTTCTCTTTCCCTCATCTCTTCTTTCTTTCTTTATCAGTTAGAATTCTGTTGTAAGGAAGCATTTTCTTTTCCTTTCCATTAAAAAGAATCAATTATTTATATTAGTGTGGACTCAGGGATTCTTATTTGATCGATTTCAATCTATGGCCAGAATTCTTCTGATGCTTGGAGTTTGCTGGTTTGGCTGATGAGTGTGCCCTTGGAGCTGGGTTCTGTGTCCTGGCTCCTGACAGCTCCCCACTGGGTTGGGAGCTGTGCCTTAGGCTTGTCCAGGGCTCATCCTCCTCTCTGCCTGCTCCAGCCCTAGACTCAGCCATGACTTGGGAGGGGTTCTTGCTAGAAGTCGGTAACTTGGATTTAATCACAAAGAAATACCAGGCAAACCCCAATGGAGGGACACCCAAATAACTGCTCAGAAGAAAGAGTGACTGAGAAACAATTTCAGATTAAGATAGACGAAGGACGTGGCGAGCCAGGGCAACGTAGGGCCCTGGGTCTGATTCTGCTTTGGAAAAAGTCATTTGTGGTAGCGTTCGAATGAGGTCTCCTGAGGAAGCAGTCATATTGTACAAAAGTTAATTTCCTGGTGCAATTTAGTAACTGTACTGTGGTCTTGTAAGATGTTGATGTCCGAGGAGTCACAGGCTGTATAGGGATTCTCTTACAAAATTAAAAATAAATTCTTAATTTTGTAAGAGTTTGTGTGAGACTATCTTAAAATGAAATGTAAAAAGATGACTCAATACAGTGAGTCCGATTTTTGGGGTAACATGAAATATTATCCATCATCGATTAATTGAAAAAGATAAATCAGCACTGTTTGTACCGAATTGGCCCATTTTTGTGAAACTAGAGCAGCATAGGACACATGTATATTTATCTGCATGTGGGAGAAATTCTAAGAAGGGTTTGTGTTTCCTGTCAGCAGACACTTCTGGGAAATGTGATTGGAAGGCGTGAGACAGTAGAGACTTTTACTTTTTGATTATTTTTTAAAACAAAGAGCATGTGCTAATATGGCAGTGGGAAAGTCCTCAGACTGTGGGTTGGGTGAATGGGTGTGCTTCTGCCCAGGAGAGCAGGCCGTGACGTGGCTTTCCTCCACACGGGTGCCATTGTAGGGGAAACATTTAATAATCTTCTTTCATTATCTCTTTCAGGCCCTCCCTGTTAAGTTGCACCCACAGGGGAAACAGTTCCTCCAGTGGTAAACTTTTGGTTTGGCTTCAGGGCAGACCCTTCTTGATTTGCCAAGTGACAATCCCTTTTGTTCTGTTAGGAGCAACGATTCATTCTCCTTCGATGGTGCTGGGCATCTCAGCCCAGTTGACCAGCATGGTTCCTCCTGGGAATTTCCATTGATCACTAGGCTTTTGTGGTTAAAGTAGCATCTCTCTTAGGTGGGTTTATTCTGTGGACAGGTTTGGTTTCAGGTGGGCCCTTCTTGTCTGAGAAGGAAGGAGCAAAACAGAAGTAATGGCTCTTGAGTGGACGGCCTCCTGTGAGCCTGGAGCTATTGTCACCTGCTCCTTGGTGACATTCTTACCAGTGAGGAAACTGATGCTAAAAGCCTTGTCCCGGAGACCCTGGGGTGTCCAATGAGTCAGATCCCGAAAGAACTGCCACCTGCTCTCGCAGGCCCTCACTCCTTCTAGGGCTTGCTCTTTGGAGTGGTTTTGGTGGCTCCCCTCAGCATCCTGGGCTGCCCCATCAACCTGCTCCCTTCTTGTCTCCTGGCTTCCCCTGCCTAGCAGGGCGTCTCCGTGGATGGAGCCCAGCAGTGACCGTAATGGCAGTGGTGACGGTGAATAAGGAATCCATGTTTGTCTTTGTCAAACTCCACAGTGCCGGGCGCTGCATCCTGGTCTCTCTCCACGGGGGCTGCAGGTGCTCTGTGGGTGGCCTGAAATGCAGAGCCACGCCTGTCCAGGAAGCGGAAGCTAAGGGGGCTCAACATTCTCTGCTCATTTCAGGGCTTATTTGGGTGTGTAAGCTCCAGCAGTAGGTTTGTGCCAGCTCCTGAACTCGGACACGCTGATTCTCCCCCAGAATTGGGGCCATTTGTTCCCAGATGTGGTAAATACATGGTTGAACCCACTGTAATCCCGTTACCATTATATCAGTGACATTATCAAGCCAAGTATGGAGAATCCAGATATTAAGCTGCACAGCTCAAAAGCGTACATGACACATGAGATAGCATCTGTTTAATTCATCACAAAAACACTTTCAGGGGATAAATAGGAAATGGAGGGAAATCCGTTTTTTGATGGAAATAATAGTCATCATCTTACAACTCTGGTAAAATAAATGATACGATATGATAAAAATTTATTTTGACTACAGTCAATAAAGCATCACATAACAAAGTGTCTCTCCTTTTAAAAATATTTGCTCCACCAGGGGCCTTTTCTGTCTTGCCTAAGACAGGTGCCGTCAGAGAGGAAGTATTTACTACTTTGCTCTTGTCTCTTTCAGAACCTCCCTATTAAGTTGTACCCATCGGGCAAATAGTCCTTGAATGGAAAACTTTTTGTCTGAAGACATTAAAGACATGCAGATGTTATTAAATGGACCTTTTCGGGCTGGGGATGTGGCTGAAGCGGTAGCGCGCTCGCCTGGCATGCGTGCAGCCCGGGTTCGATCCTCAGCACTACGTACAAACAAAGATGTTGTGTCTGCCGAGAACTAAAGAAATAAATATTAAATAAATAAATAAATGGACCTTTTCCCAGAGCTGTAATTTTTTTTAAATGATTTTTTTAAAATAATGGTACAACTTTAGACCTTGAAAAGCACATTGAAGCATCTTCTACCATTTGGTAAGCCCAATAAAAGTGATAGTAATAAGGATATGCATATCCTTATGTGCCCTCCTGTGAATGGGACAATGTAAATGTAAACAGGCGAAGAGCCCTATGGTCAGTCCCTGTCCCAGTGTTTGAGGTGACCAATGGGAGGGCCTCATGGTGGCTAAAATGAAATGCTACTTCTGCTTGAGTGAAAAATACACACATATCTTTCTGGGTATTTTGGCACCCAATCTTTCTAACTTATTGATAAGATTCTAATATAGCAGGGCTTGGTGTAATCCCAGCAATTGGGGAGGCTGAGGCAGGAGAAATGCAAGTTCGAGGCCCGACTCAGCAACTTAGATGCTTTCTTAAAACAAAATGGGCTGGGGATGTAAATCATGCCAGCACCCCCCCACGCCCTGCCCCCCCGCAAAAAAAAAAATTGATTCTGACTTTGGAAATCATAGGAAATAGATACTGATAAGAATCATATAGTTCAGAAAGACATGATTTCAGAAAGTCAGCTGGTAAAGATAAGTATTTCCATGGCTGAGCAGCAAGAATCTTTTGTAAAGTGTTGAACAGATTGACAGGAACCCAAAAACAGAAGTTGCAGTTCTGCTGACCTGGGGCCTGTGCAGTTGCTCTCCAGTGTTCCAGCAGATGCTTCCCCGGGCTTACTGTTCACTAAGCCTCTACGGGACTCATGCGCACCTTGAACTATGTCCCATCTCATTCCGCTTCCTCTGCAATGGCTTTGGGCAACTGGTTTTACTGCACGTGACAGTTGTTCCCATGACTACGGGACTGCAATTGTAGGAGAATACTTGTCTGATTGTTGCATCCTGTTAAAGCTCCTTGGTGCTTTTATCTTATGAACTGTAAAAGCTCTCTATTTTTTAATCCCATTTCCTGTCAAAGCTAGGGCCACACTAGCTGAATTGCTCTCGAGACTGGCTGCACTTTGGATAGCCAGCTTCTTCCTCACCAAATTCAAGTGTTTCAAGACTTAACTTGTCACGAAGACCTGGGACTTTGGTGGTGAGTCATCCTCAAAAGGCCAGTCTGGCCTCCGCTTACTCTCTTTTCTGCATACAAGCAGTGTCACCCGTGGCTTTGATGGCTGGAGTCTCCAGGACCATCGCTGGCTCTCCTTAACTGTCAGCACATGGGTTTCTGACACGTAGGAAAGACATGTGGCTACTCTTCAGCAAGTACTAATTATTGTCTTCAATTGTCCTTTGGCTTGTGCTGGGCTGGGCACGGGGGTGGGGGTGGGGGGGTGGGGTCTCGCATGACCCATCCTACCTTGAACCTTACTCACTAGATCTCACTCCCTTAGCAGAAGACAAGTTCCAGTTTCACAAAGCCTGGTGTGTTTGCCTCTGTGTGCATTGTGACACAGCACCTGGTCCACAGAGGACAGGCCAGCTTCACTTCTCTGTGCCTCTGTCTCTACATCCGCCTTTGCAAAATTGAGACCCTAATATTAGTTCTTATAAGGCTGTTGTGAACATGAACTTGGGATTGCACCTGGCTGGCACATGTTGGGGGTTCATAAAATTCCTTACTTACCTGAAGATTAAGCGATCATTACCTTGGGTTTAGGAAAAGTGTAGTGTGTGTGTGTGTGTGTGTGTGTGTGTGTGTAGTATGATTCATTCAGTCCCTGGGCTCAGCCCACTTTCAGCAGCATATTCTAGACTCTGAATTGATGTTGGAGTCCCACAGATGAGAGACCCTTCTAGAAGTGGTTGCCATCCTCTGGAAAATATGGAGTTGTACATGAGCATTGTTTGGCCCATCACAGTTGCTATGAATAGGGACTCCAGGGTTCTTAGGTCCTTAAAAAATGAATGGATCTCTGAAATAACCACGTCTTCTCTCCCGTTCAACCCTGGCTTTGCAAGGTGAGGGCTTGTGTCTTTTTCGCATCTACACCTCCCAGGGATCAGGTCCCTGCCTGGCACACCGGGGCATAGGGGTACACAGGGCATGGCTGCAGTTTTTCTCTGGGAGCTTGTCCTCCTCTCTAAACAGCAGGTGAGCCAACATTTTGAAGCTGTCCATCAGCCCTCGAAGTCTGGGATCTGCTGACAGGTGCCAAAATAGATCCCTGTGTTGGAGCTGCCCGGGAAGGTCATGACTTTTGGGACATTCTCTGACTCTCAGCTTTGCTAGAAGCTGACTAATTTTGAGCGGGGAAGTGAGGGTTTGGAAATGCCCCTGTCTGCACATCTGGCTTCCTGGTCAAATCAAATAGTTATTTCTGATAAGTTCTTTGGCTTCTGTGAAGCTGCCTGGCCGCGTCTGGCTGTGGGTGGTAACTCCACAGAGAACTCAGACTGGAAGGCAGGCATAGGAGCCGAGTGGGTGGTGAGGACGGGCTTTCTAGCCCATTTCAAAGTAAAAAGAAGGTTTTGCAAGCAGTTAGCCATGACTGCTACCACGTTTTCCCCCCATTTCCATTGAAAATGAAGTTCTACGTGGACACAAGTGACCAAGGAACGGGGACTCAGGCAGGACATCTAATGACATGTGCAACTTAGCGATTTCTAGAGTGCTTTTTTCTTTTCAGAGTATTTCCCCTAGAGCTCTTCTTCCAGACTCTGAGCATTTAAGCTTTGCAATGTCAGCAGCTGAGTATTCTAGAAAGATCATAGACTTTCGAAAACTTTCCAAGAAACTGGTGGGAATCAACTGTTTCTAGTGGGATATGGTCATTTGATTTACCAGTTTTTTTTAAAAAATATTTTTTAGTTGTAGTTGACACCCAATACTTTTATTTATTTATTTATATGTGGTGCTGAGGATCAAACCCAGGGTGTTGCACGTGTGAGGTGAGCGCTCTACCACTGAGCCACAACCCCAGCCCCATTTAATTTACCATTTTGAGTGGTTTCTTCTTCCAACAAAGGAAAAAAACAAAACAAAACATGGATTGCTTAGTTAGAATAATTCTAGGTGCTGTAACTAATAAACCTCAATATTTTAGGTGCCTAAAAGATGACATTCTCATGCCACTTCCACTCTGGGTGTTTTCCTGGTTTGTAGGTGGCTCCTCTTCCATGTCATTCTGCCATCCCTGGGATCTTGAAGTCCATCCCACTGGCAGAGCGGGGAGCAACAATGGAAAGTCATGACCACGTCTTTAAAAGAATTATTTTACCTTGGATATAAAAACATAAAAGTGGTTTAGGTCTATGGGGTTTGAGGCGATGTTTTGATACAAGTATGCATTTGCTTAATGTTTAAATTGCAGTAAACATCTCTATCTCTATCATTTCTTTATAATCCAAGCACTTAAAATCCTTTCTTCTAGTATATGGTAGGTTATCTTTCTGTAGTCATTGCACTGTACAAGAGCACCCTAGAATTGCCTGCAAGAGCATCCCAGGACTGCCTGCTCCTATCTAATGGTGACTGCACGTCAACCAGCCTCCTCTTCTCCCTCCCTCCTCTTCCCTCCAGCCTCTGGTAACCAACACTCTAGTCTCAACTTCTGTGGGATCAACCTTTTTTAGATTCTACTTAATAAGTATTTGTCTTTCTGTGCCTGGCTTATTTCAGTTACCATAATACCAGTTTTATCCATGTCATCACAAATAACAGGATCCCTTCTTCTTCTTCTTCTTCTTTCTTTTAAGAGAGAGAGAGAGAGTTTTTTAATATTTTTTTTCAGTTTTCAGTGGACACAACATCTTTATTTTATTTTTATGTGGTACTGAGGATTGAACCCAGCGCCCCGCGCTTGCCAGGCGAGCGCGCTACCGCTTGAGCCACATCCCCAGCCCATCCCTTCATTTTTCAATGAAAATAGAGTGTGATTCCATTGTGTGTGCACCGAATTGTCTTTATTTATTCATCTTTTAATGGACACTTAGGTTGCTTCCATTTCTTGACTATTGCAAATAGGGCTGCAGTAAACATAGGTGTGCAGACACCTCTTTGACATACTGATTTCATTTCCTTTGGATATGTACCCAGTACTGGGATTGCTGAAATATGGTTATAGTTGTTCTATTTTTAATTTTTTGAGAAACTGTCAGTCGTAATGGCTTTTCTAATTTGCATTTACACCAACGGTGTGCAGGGGTCCCCCTTTTTCCACATCTTTGCCAGCACTTGTTATCTTTTGTTTTTAATAATAGCTGTACTTACTGGAGGAAGGTGATACCATTGTGATTTTGATTCACATTTCTCTGATGATGAGTGATTGAACATTTTTTCATATACTGTTGGCTGTTTATATGTCTTCTTTTGACAAATGTCTGTTTAGGTCTGTTGCCTATTTTTTGTATTGGATTCTTTGAGGGATTTTTTGTCCTTATACACTCTGGATATTAACCCCTTGTCAGATGTGTAGTTTACAAACATTTTCTCTGGTTTTGTAGATTGTCTCTTCACTCTGATGAGTGTTTTCTTTCTTTGCAGAAACTTTTTAGTTTGATATAATCCCATTTGTCTGTGTGTTTTTACTTCTTGTGCTTTGAGCGTCTCGTTGAAAATATTCTTGCCCATTCCAAAGTTCTGAAGCATTTTCTCTAGGTTTTCTTTGGATAGTTTTAGGTCTTGCATTCAGGTCTTTATCCGTTTGTTTAAAAAAAAAAAAAAAGTATCTGTTGGCTGTAGATGTGAGGATTTACTTCTAGGCTGTTTGTTCTTATTAATTTTTCTTTTATTGTGTAGTGCTGGGGATACAACCCAGGGTCTTGTGCATTCGAGGCAAGTACCCTACCAACTGAGCCCCTTTTAAAAAATTCTTTAAATCTTTAATTTTTTTTGTTCTTTTTAGTTACACATGACAGTAGAATGTATTTTGACAGATAGTACATACATGAAGTATAACTTGTTCTACTTAGGACCCACTCTTGTGGTTGTACATGATGTGGAGTTACCCCGGTCGTGTATTCAAATGCAAGGCTAGGAAAGTTGTTAATTAATTAATTCTGTCTTTCCTATTCCACTCCCCACTCCCTTTTCTATGTTTCTCTTTGTCTAATCCAATCGATTTCTATTATTCCCCTCCCTAACCACCCTTGTTTTGGATTAGCATCTATAAATCAGAGAGAACATTCGGCCTTTGGTTTTTTGGGATTAGCTTATTTCACTTAGCAGGACATTTTCCAGTTCTATCCATTTATCAGCAAATTAGGCTCTCTGCTCCATTCCACTGGTCTGAGCGTCTGTTTGCCTCCATACTGTGCCATTTTGATTATTATAAGTTTGTAATGTAGTTGGTTCTTTTTGCTGAAGACAGCTTTGGCTATTTAGATTTTTTTCTTGTGTCTCCATATAAATTTCAGGATTATTTTTTCAAGTTCTGTGAAGCAAGTCATTGGTACCTTGATAGGGATGGCATTGGATCTATAGATTGCTTTGGGTAGTAGAGACATTTTAATAATACTGACTCTCCCAGTCCATGAGTGTGGACCATGTTTCCATTTTTTGGTGTTGTCTTCAGTTTCTTTCATCAATGTGTTATAATTTTTAATTGTAGAGATCTTTTACAACTTTGGTTAAATTTATTCCCAAGTATTTTTTTTTTTAGATATGGTAAAAGGGATTGCTTTTTAAAATTTCTGCTTCAGATAACTTGCTCTACATGTATATAATATCTACTGATTTTTATATGTTAATTTTAGATCCCCAAATTTTGTTTATTAGTTCTAGATTTTTTTTGTTTTTGTTTTACCGTAGTCTTTGGGTATTTTGTAAGTACAAGATTATTATTTTTTTCTGCAAATAGTGACAATCTGACTTTCTTGTTTCCAGTTTGGTTGAATTTACTTTTCTTTCTTTCTTTGTGTCTTTCTTTGGTGATGCCGGGATCCAACCCAGCATGCCTTGCACTTGCCCCTGAGCTCCATCCTTGAATGGCATTTCTCTTTCTCTTGCCTGATGCTCTAGCTAGGATTTCTACTGCTCCAGAACTACATTGAATTAAAGTGATGACAGTAGGCATCTTTATCTTGTTCTAAATCTTAGAAAGTTTCGGCTTTCTCTGTTCACTATTATGTTGGCTGTTGGCCTACTGTCTATGGCCTTTATTCTGTTGGGGGATATGCCCTGTATGCCCAGTTTGCTCAGAATTTTTATCATGAAGTGATGTTGAATTTTATCAGATACTTTTTATGCATTAATTGAGATGATCATGTGGATTTTGTTCTTTAATAGGGTGTATCACATTTATTGAAACTTCTTATATCCCTGGGGTAAATCCTACTTGATCGTGGTGAACAACCTTTTTCTTGTGCTGTGGGATTCAGTTTGCTAGTATTTGTTGAGGATTTTTGCATCTGTGCTCATCAGGGATATTGACCTAGTTTTGTTGTGTCCTTGTCTAGTATAGTGTCAGGGTAATGCTGGCCTTGTAGAATGGATTTGGAAGAATTCT